TTTTTCTTTAATTCATTAAGAGCTTCTTGTGTTAATCTTAATTTTTGCATTTTAGGTTTTAAACTATATTCTTCTAAATTTTTTAACGTTTCATCGAATATTTGTACTTTTTTTTCGTACCTGAAACAAACAAACAAACAAACATTAGTCCCAATAATAATAATATTAATTTATTTTTAAAAAAAAAGGTATTATTATTATTATTATAATTACTCGTCGGATAAATTTTTAACTTCTTCGTTGAATTTCTTATCGTTATCAGCATTCAATTGATTTTCTTCAGCGGCTTGTGCAGATTTCATCCAGGAATTTATTTCTTTAGTACTTTTTTGTTTATCCTGTATCCTGTTTAAAATCCCCTCCAAATTAGCGATTTCGACGTAATCCGTTGAATTCTGTTGATTTCTACGAGCTTTGACAACTTCTTTTTTCAATTTATCATTTTCATTTTCCAATTCTTTACGCTTTTTTAATTTTTCCTCGTAATCCGTTTTTAAATTTTCAACAGCCGTCCTTTTAGCTTTTATTTTCTTTTGATTTATGTGCATTAATTTTTTTTTTTCCGATGTGACTTTCGACCATTTATTTTTTTCATTCGTTACCATTTCTTCGAGTTTACATAATTCTTTTTTTTCAATAACTAATTGTTCTTTTGCATTTATTATTTTCTCACGCATTTCCGCCAATAATTCTTGGCATGATTTCATTTTTTTCCAACCTTTTTCAAACCTTTTTCCAACCTTTTTAATTAAATATTGTGTGTGTGTGTGTGTAGTAAAAATTAACTTGTCTGTAATTATAATAATAATAATAATAATAAAATTGTAAACAATTCATTCCTAATCATTAATTTACAATATATCAAACTATAATAATAATAATTAATACATGGTTAAAACTTACAAATTTTGTTAATAATAATAATTTTTTTTTTAAAAAATTTATTTATTTTTATTTTTTTGTATGTATTTGTGAATTTTTTTTCTTTTTTTTTTTTTTTTGTTTAAATTTTTTTAAAATTTTTGCGTGAAAAAAATAAAAATAAAAAAAATAAACATAAATAAAAAAAAATTTTGATTTTTAAAAAAATTTAAATTTAAAAAAAAAAAAAAAAGAAAAAGAAAAAGAAAAAAATTTTGTTCTTTAATTTTTAGAAAAAAAGAATCCTTAATGTGTTTTTTTTTTTTAACAATTTATAATTAATAATTAATAATTAATTTCTTATTTATTAATTTTCTTGACAAAAACACAAAAAATTTTAATAACTTAAAAAGAGAAAATAAAATAAAACATTAAATCAAAAAAATTTTCCTTTTTAATAAATAAATAAATTAATTAAATAGTATTAAAAGGTGATATTAATATATAATATGGATCAATATATATTATTCCTATTGGATTATAATTATATGTATTATAAAAAAAAAAAAAAAAGGAAAAAAAATTTCTCCAGGATTTTGTTTCCATGGTAATTTTTTTCCCTTTTTTTTTTTTTTAGAAAAACAAAAAATTTTTCAATTTTATATGTATTATCTATTTTAAAATACATATAATTAAATAACTTATTAAAAGGATAAATAATTTTATTCATTATTAAGAACAAAAATTAAACAGGTAAAAGATTTTCTTTTTCTTTTATTAAAAATTTTCCCTGTTTTTTGTTTTCCTTGTTTTTAATCACATTTGATTTGTATAATCCTGACATTGTTAAAAAGTTCTTTTTTTTTTTAGATTTGTATGAATTTATTAATAATTAATTATTTAATTAAATAAATAATTTATTAAACTATACATACATATAAAATAATTTGAAACTATTAAATAATAAAGTAAGTGTTAAATTTGTTTTTTTATTTTTTTTAAAATAAAATGGCTGCCAAAAATTTTTGAATTACTTATTGCCATTATTTAAATTTTACTAACAAAATTAAATAAAAATAAACACGATTATTAATTATATTATAATTAAAGTTAAAAAATATTATTATTAATGTTTTTTTTTTTTCAATTTATTCCAGAAAAAAAAAAAAAATTATTCAACATTTCTGAAGGATTTTATAAAAAAAAAAAAAAAAAAAGGAAAAAATTGAAGAAAAAAAATTTGAATGAAAAAACTTCAGGGTAATTTTTAAAAATTAATAAAAAAATAAAAGTTTAAAAAAATTATTTTAATATTGAAATTAAATTGAAATTCTTTTTCTTTTCGGGGGGGGGGGTTGCAAATTTATTAAATATGTACAGAAGACATAAACCGTAGAAAACAAGAAATTGCAAATTCTGCATACGAAAAATGGTTTATAAAAAAAAAACACGAATTAATAAAAGAACGTAAAAAAAATAAAATAAAAGAAATAAAAGAAAATGAAATACGTGACAAAAGTAATGAAATAAAAAAAAAAAAATCAAAACAAGAATTTAATAACTGGATAAAAAAAAAAAATGATTTACTTAAAAAACAACAAATGAAAGTTAATATCGAGTGAGTAAATAAATATTTTTATTTTTTTCTTATAA